TGTTCTCTAAAGCTTCTATTAAATCCACCATGTTGACATATTTTAACAAGTTTCCTCTAAGCTGCAGGAATTAAAGTTGACATTACAGAGTAAAAGTTCGGCAGACACGTTTATTTATATCTGGGTGGGGGGAGGGGGGTGCTGCACACATACAGCTGGTGTGATCAGCTCTGAAAAGCGTTGATCACAATTTGCAGATCCCGTTTATTTTTCACGGAGATCGGCCGCAGATTCCTCTTCCGTCGGCATTCTAGGAATCGAAATAAAAAACGTTGAGAGATTCCTGGGAAAATGAACAGTTGGAACCGGTTCCAATCGATGATCTGTTAAGTGTGATTTCTGGTCAGCAAAGTGCTGCAGAGTGCTGTTCCATGTGAAAATGGTAAAGTTTCTACCAACACAATCACTGATCCCCACTTTTAAAGGAATTGGTGAAAGTTTAAAAAACTGTGCAGTGTTGCTTTAAATTTGCTTTGTGCAAGAATTAAATGCCTGTGCTCTTTTTCTGCCATTGCTGCATCATTTGTATAGCAACTAATAATTCCTATATGCATTCATGCATTCTGAGCTACATCACACCCAGAGTTGTTGTCAAATGTACTTTTATTTTCCCATTAACACAGCTTATTGTGAGATGAAACTGGTGAAGAAAAGATGCTGCACTGAAAAGCTCAGAGGGAGACTCAAACACCAATCCATCTGACCTTCATGAAAAGAAAAACTGAAACTAGTTCTGGATCAAAAACCAGAAACTTCCTTCCTTCCTAAAAATAAAATAAAAAATCTGTCCAACAGCCTGAGCCCAAAAATAAATATATTTGTCTCTGAGGCTTTAACTTGAGCTGCCCACGACATCAATAATGGATTAAACTGAGACCTGAATGTTGCATCAACATATTTAACCTCTGAATGATGACAGAGGAGAGAACATGAATAAAGAGATTTAACGCTTTATTCTATTGAGATTTTTCAGAGAGCCTTTGGCTTCTTTGAACAATTTTTTTTAAGTTAGCTGATTGTTTTCTTTATTTTTCATGTAAGAAAAGCTGACTAAAGCTATAATCCCTCTGCTGCAATCATGTTTTGGCTCAAAAAGTGTCCTTGAATGAATGATTCATTGTGTTGGAAACCGATAAAATATCACCATTGCTCATGTGTGCAGCTCCTTTTTAGCTGATAATGTCTGTCATCCATTGATGATGTCTTCCATCTATTTGATGCTGACTCCCACCAACTCGATGTGACTGGTGTTGGAAGAATTAGCATACAGGTCTTAAATATCTTAAATATGGCTTATTAGTGGGACAGAAAGTGAAGCTCAGGTCTCCCTGGATATAAATGTTAGAATCTGATTTGAATGTTTTCATTTGTATAACCTACAACAACTCAAAGAAACAGACAATTTGTTACAGTTTGTTGGAGGAAAAACGGAGAGCAGGTGAAAATGACCTGAATGATTTTAACAACTGAAGACTGTGATGGCATCAAGCTAACATAACACAGTAATGTTCTCATACTGGTCATTTATTCCAGTCCCAAACCCATTTGAATTAAATCAAGAGGAGTTTTTAGCATGTTCTAAAGCCACTAAATTGTTTAAATTCAGCATATAATCTACACAAGTCCAGGATGTACCCCGCCTGCTTCCCCGGACAGAGCTGGAGATGAGCACCAGCATGGACGATGCTTTTTCCAAAGAAAATTTTTGTCCCCTTGCACTTTTTACCATCCAAAAACAATATCAAATCAGTCAAATTTTATTTGTGTAGCACCTTCCACTGCTTTTACAGAAGCCCAAGGCCCTGAACATAACATGAAAACAACAAAAGAGCAAAGAGACCACAAGACAGATTAAAACTGCATAAAAGACTGACTAAAATAACAAAACATATACGATAAAAGACAAAAATTCTAAAAATCCATATTACATAAAAGCCAAACAATAAAAATAAGTCTTCAAACGACTCTTAAAGACCTGCAGTGATGGGGTCTGTTTGACAACAAGTGAGAGCTCGTTCCATAGTGTTGGTGCTAGGACAGAAAAGGCCCTATCACCTCTTGTTTTCAGCCTTGTTCTTGGGATGATGAGCAAATCCTGGTTAGCTGAGCAAAGAGAGCGCGTAGGGGCATGCATCTGAAGCAGGCCAGCCAGATATGGTGGGGGACTGGAAGACGAACAACAAGACCTTAAACTTTGCTCGGCAATCCACAGGGAGCCAGTGTAGGGAAGCCAGGACAGGAGTAATGTGTGTTGTTTTGTTCGAGCCAGTCAGGAATCTAGCTGCCGAGTTCTGAACCAACTGCAACCGCTTCAGTGCTGCCTGCAATATTATGTTATATTAAATAGACACTGGTTGAGCACTAGGACCAAGCAGAAAACAACCGCTTGTGTTGAAGCCTGTTTCCCATTTGAACTTACTGTAAAGTCCCTGGTCACCAGCCCCCTCCCCGCGACCCAGCGAGGATAAGCGGGTAAAGAAAACGGATGGATGGATAAAATCTACACTCATGTCTATCAAACCCCTAATAGATTGTGCAAATAATAAACTTTCTCATGATATTTACATTGATATTCACACATGTCGGGACACAAGTGAACTAAGTTAATGCATGCACTAATGACATACGTGTCTAACTATGGTGGAACATGTTAGCAGCCTTTAATGACCATGCAGCAACCTCAGTCAGTTAGCAGATGAGAGATGAAAATGCTTGAAAACCATCTAACCAATCAGAAGAGTTGATATGATTTTGACCCCTTACATATAATGTAAAATTTTAGATTATCTGCTGCTTTTGCACCTCTCATTTACATGCAAACTGTTTTTGGGGATAGAAATTGAGAATAAAAAATGTTTTTAAAAAAATCTCTCAGAAACTGAGATTTTTAACAACTCTGGTTTTTGGTTATCTATGTTTCTTAAAATATATATAGGTGAACAGTTTTTCAAAAATAGAGAAAAAGTACAAGTTGTGTTGAGATTGAGAGAATCAAATCCAACAAGAGCAACAGGCCACCATTATGCTCCATCGATCCAGGATTTTCCTGCTTGATCCTGTTCAGCGTTGCGGCGTCTTGGCCATAAACCATCATTGGACAAGAGGCAGGGTGCACTCTAGAAAAGTCACAGGAGATGAGTTAAAAACCTTTTTGCTGTGAGGCACCGTCACTACATAACAACTCCTCCATGCTGCCCTCATCCCAGCCATATGAACAGGTTTAGGGGCTTTCTATGCAAAGGCTGTGGTGTTGAGGCAAAAAGAGTATTTCATCTATTTGTTCTGTTGTTTTGCAACCAAGCAGGTCGTTTGAAAACTGATGAGGAGAAGCTGACATTTTCAAAATCTGTATGAGACCCAGAAAAAAAAATCTGCTTTGAAAGTTTAAAGAATTTATCTTCACAACAATTTGGCCACGGAACAGTGAGTGAAACATTTGGGTCATCTGATCCCTTTAGTTTGTACAGCTAGAGCATTAATTTGCCTAGCTTCTTTTGAGAACTTGCAAGATGTCATAATGCAGTTTTTGCCAAAAAATATTTTTTAAATTAAAACTATTTAATTAAATCCAAATTAACTCATTTGTGTGATTTCTTTCTATGAAACTGTTGCTGATTTGCAGAAAAACTCGACTGCACTGCATTTGTCCCCTCCTCCTCTCTGTCTGTCTTCTGGAAGTGATGTGGTGAATAAAGTTGCCAGAAGGGGCCTTTTTTTCCTCCTGACATAAATCATCTGCAGTGTACAGCTGCGATGAAAGGCTCCTGGCAATATTTGTTTAAATCCTTAAATGAATCTGCTGCAGCACCACCAGTAGGACCAAACTCCCATTGGATATTGGATATTTATTGGTCCCACAAAGACTTTAAATTAAGAAAATGTATTATTCCTTGAAGTGAAAACAGAAGCCTTGGTCTTTTGACAAGCAAAGGGAAGTTACCACCCGTATATCAAAGTAACCACAGAGCTTTGTGAAGCCCTCCTCGACTGGCCGTCCAGCAGAACATTAACTTTAACAGTGTTTTAGATAAAAGACACAGCTGTAATGTATCATTAGACCCAGAGGGAAAGAGATAACCAAAACATTCTTCTTAATTCTGAACAGGAAACATTAAAAGCAGACAGAACCCTGCTATATTGCCTTGTAAAAGTCTGCTAATGTTTTTGTTTTAAACCGCCATCCTGTCTTTGCTGTCTGGGTCAGGCTGTGGAAGAATAGAGGATGTTAATTGGCTTTCTTTAATTTTATTAGCCATTAAACCCCTGTGCGTGTGTTGAATGAGCCTGAATGAAAAGAAGTGAGTGGAAAAAACCCAAACCGTGCAGCATAAATGACTTAATAAAATTAGAAGATAATTTGCTGTGGAGCGGAGATTAAAGGGAGACTAGGTGGTTTTGGCTTGATTGTAGCACCCCCTAGTGTCCGTTTTGTAGAACCAAAGGCAAAACTTACCAGTGCGTTTTCTTTTTAACACATTAACTAACAAATCAACTGTGTTCATAATCGAAAACATGCAGGAAACGTCCTGGAACCAGACTGCAGTGGCAGGTATGTCAGCTCCAACAAGTCCAACTGACCGGACAGGAATATTCTGGCCATAGGGGCTGGCTGGCCTTTCATTAACCCTGTAGAGCAGGCGTGGGAACCCAGGTCCTCAAGGGTCGGTATCCTGTATGTCTTTGCTCCAACACTTCTGATTCAGTGGTGGATTCACCTGTTCTGCAGCTCATCAAGCTCTGCAGAAGTTTGTTAATCACCTGCTGATTGAAATCAGGTGTGATGATGCAGGGTTGAAACTAAAATATGCTGGATAGCGGCCCTCAATGGACCAGGGTTCCCAACCCCTGCTGTAAAGGGTCATTTTAATACATACTGGCTCAAGAAAAGGGTTTAAAAATATGAAAAAGTTGCGAAATGTCTCTTTAAGACTGTTCTATTGTCTTTTCATTCAAAACTTTATGCAAGCTCATTGTCCACACCTTGTTTTGTCATTTTTTAGGAGGACATGGACCACAACTACTACACATCGAAAACATACGCCCCCTCAGATCCCATGAGCAAAGACCTGTGGGTAAATATTGACCTGATGGAGAAGGACAAAGTGAAGATCCACGGGATATTGTCCAACACACACAGACAAGCGGCGGTGAGTCAACAACACCCAGGGAGGTTTAGTTGAAGCTGAAAGTCGATTTGGATGATTAGAAAAATGTTCGGACTTTGTGTGTTCTGGCAAATAAAACAGAAATTACTTGGATTCAAAGCGTTACACTTTTTTTTACGAGGTGCATTTTTTTAAACTGAGCATTTATTGAACTTTTTTCCCCAACAAATTATTAAAAACAAATTTATCACACTGGCTTCTCTATCTCTTTAATAGGATTAGTACATTCCTCAAAAATTAGCTTTATGAACCCTGCACCCTGGTGGAGGATTAAGGCGCTACAAGCATCAAGTGCCAATCACAGTTGGACGGTGCTTGATTTTGGCAAAGACGTAAGAACACTGCAGGTTTTTAGGGAAAGTACTTACAAACTAATAGTCGAATAAGAAATTATGAATATTGCATTATAGAGTTAAAGGGATACTAAGCACTTTTGTTTGCTTTTAGCACCCCCTAGTGTCCGTTATTAACAATCTGTGGTCAAAGCAAAAGTGAAACTTATCTCCTCGCTGTGCGTTCATCTTTTTAACACCTTAATCTAACAGCTTAAATGTCTCCCCAGTCTTCATTAGTTTCTAGAGGAGTGATTCATCACTAAATCATACAAATCAGTTGTGTTCACGATCTAAAACGTGCAGGGAACGTTGCAGTGCCAGGTATGTAAGCGCCATTTTTTCTAAATCTAACAGGGTCCGGCCCGCCACTCTGAATTTGCAAATGCAGTATTCTGGCCACAGAGGGCGGTAGGAGTCTTGAGTGACATTTTGTTAACCCTGTAACAGGTCATTTTAGCACATACTGGCTCAAGAAAACAATTTAATGTATATGAAAAAGTTGCATAGCATCCCTTTAAAACATTCTGCAAGAAAGAAATGTACACCAAAGACCTGTCACAATTTGTTTGCACTTGCATCAGATGCTCCAAGTAACCCAGTCACTTACAAAACGACTTACTAAAATTGTTTCCAGCTTTAAAAATCTCCCAAAAGATGTAAGTCTCCAATTGTTCACCCAAAGTCTCAGCCCAGTCCATAACTTTCCAAATAAGTATTTTTCATGCTTCCTTCTACATCCATAGAAGTACTGCACTCGACATATCAGCAGCATGATGCCTGAAGATTTACCCTAGAGCCTGCAAATACCATCCATGTTCTGGTGGATTCTGATTCATAGCACAGTTCTCATGCAGCACGAAGGGACCCTGGGAGAAATGAAAGCTGTTATAAATAAAAGTTTACAATTGTATGATTTAAAGAACCACTGAGCCTTTGTTTCTTTGTAAGTCATTGTGACTAAAAGGTAAAAACTATCCATGTATTCTTCACGCTAATTTCAAATCTTCTCTGCAGCTACGTTTAAAGCTCCCCTCCCTTCATGTCGGTGCAGGCAGGTGACCCATGTGAGCTGCATACTGATGAAGGCAGCCGCAGCAGACCAGAGAAACAAAACATCATGGCTAGGAAAAAAGGAGAAAGTACTTAGGGTGAACAATAGCTGGTGAGGAGACAGGATGTTCATTCTGATGCTGCGCCTTCAGTCTGGTGATGATAGATTGATCAATGAAATCTAAGCTTTGCTATTTCATCTCAGCCTCTGAATGTCCAATTGCTGAAAGCCAGCAATAGGCCAATATGGGATTTTACTCTGACTTTGGCATAGTTTGAAAAATCAATAAATAAATGTCCAGCTTTTACAATCTAGAATCAAAAAGGACACCATGAGGTCTCGGCTGAATAACCACCTGTGCCTAAATGACGGTACACCCTCACAGGACTAATGCTTCAAACCAGTAGTTTATTGAGACGGTCGTTAAAGTCCTGCTCAGAACTCACCTGCCAGAACTTTGGTCCCCGATTCAGACAAACGGAGCCACGGAGGTCGGCTCCATCGCGGGTTAGAGAGAGATTCACCACAGGATTTCTAATACAGGACCACAAAGCTGTGATGTTTACATCAACCATACAAACACATTCAGCCCACAGGTAACATGGTGGATACAGAAACTGTAGGAAGTGCTTATGTGCATAAAAATATCTTTAAATATGCATGTGTGTTCACAATCCTGCCAAAGAACCTAGGAATAAAATAAAAAATTCTCAGTAGAGCTGTATGAAATCCACTTGTTGATTTTTTTTCTGTTTTCCACTATTGTTTATTTTTTTACTTATCAGGATTCCAAATTTATGATGTTCATTCTGAAAATTCAAACAAGAGGGAAATTACTTTTAGATGCACAATTGAACGCAAACATCTTTAAGTCAGATATATATGAGCTTTAGTTTAGCTTTTGGCTACAGTTGCACAATATTTACTTTTTCTACACAAATCTGAGTTTTTTTTCTTAGAGGTCACCATCTAGAGGTGGAAAGTTGTATTGCACCTTAAGTCCCATCCCTACTACCGTCATTATCGCTGAAGCAATGCTTCGTATTTGAACAACCTGCAATTTTGCAAGTTCTCCCACTTAGAAATCATGGAGGGGTCTGAAATTCACATTGAAGGTGCACTCTTACTGTGAGAAACAGCATTTGTCAAAAATCTGAAAATCACATTGTGTGATTTTTAAAGAATTTATTTGTATTGCACTGCTGCACATTAGTATATGAACACCTGACTCAAAGACCTGTTACTCTTAAGTCCAGCTCTATTCCACCTATTAATCTAAACTAGTAGCACCTTTCTGAGCTTGTTAAAGACACCTGTTCACCCCACAGTCAGTCAGACTCCTACTACTACCATGGGCAAGACCAAAGAGCTGTGGGAAGATACCAAAGACGAAAACATGGACCTCCACGAGGCTAGAAACAGCTGCAGGGCAATTGCCGAGCAGCTTGGTGAAAATAGATCAACTGCAACTGGAGGCCAAAGACGACTGCCAGTCTCCCTCGGAGGGAGGCTCCACGTAAGATCTCACCTGGTGGAGTTTCACTGATAAGAAAGGTGAAGAATCAGCCCAGAACTACACGAGAGGAGTTGGTCAATGACATTAAGAAAGCAGGAACCACAGTTTAAAAAGTCCCTGTCGATAGAACTGTCATGGTTTAAAATCATGCATTACATGGAAGGTTCTCCTGCTCAAGTCATTGCATGTCCAGGCCCGTCTGAAGTTCACCACTGACCATCTGGATGATCCAGAAGAGGCGTGGGAGAAAGTCAGGTGACCAGATGAGGTCAAAATAGAACTTTTTGGTCTAAACTCTTCTTGCTGTGTTTGGAGGAAAAAGAAGGATGAGTCGCATCCCAAGAACACCATCCCTACTGTGAAGCATGGGGGTGGAAGCATTATGCTTTTGGGCTGCTTTTCTTCCAGAGACAGGACGACTGCTCTGCAGTAAGGAGAGGATGCAACAACCTCCTTTGTTCAGAGCATTGAAGATGGGTCATAGCTGGGTCTTCCAACATGACAATGACTCAAAGCACTCAGATAACTAAGGAGTGGCCCAGTAAGAAACATATGAAGGTTCTGGAGTCAAAAATCCCTGTTGATGAACTATAGGAAAATTATATTAAAAAAAAGGCTAAAATTTAAAACTTTCTTGATGAATGAGGGTTGTTAAAGCTGAAACCCCACCTGAGACCTGTTCCACAAGTGCGTGAGACTCGGTGTTGAATGTTTTTGATCTTTAAGTGTTGATTTAATTTGTGAGTTCTCGTCCAAGTGATGTAAAGTTTATAAGTGCAGCCAGGAACGATCAGTGAGCTGTTTCGGCTTCCTTTGCTAAGGCAACAGCTGCACATACGAATCATGTCGGCTTGTCATGTTAACACTTCACAGATTATTCTTCACAAGAGTTTTGAACAAAAACTTAAGAAAAACCGTAGATGACATCATAGCATTAAAAATACCCAAAATCCCATCAAGAGTTAGTTTTGAATGTCAGTTTCTTGTATATTTCTTCATAAATCTTAATATTACAGATATTTTCTTGGATGAATTTACACGTTCATTGACACGGATAAACACAATGTTGATTTCATTGGGAATATTCTCCCTTAAGTGAAGAATTTGTATTCTGCCTTTACTTTCTGCGTTTCCACCCCGGAGTGCAGTAACACACGATCCACCTCAGTATTTACTCTCCACCGTTTGCCTCTGATCTTAATCTTCTGGAGATAAAAAAAAAAGTCTCTTCTTGAATTTTCTGTTCCCTCCAACTTCCTGACTTGGTCCATCTGTCTGTTTTTCCCTCCTCAGAGAGTTAATCTGTCCTTCGATTTCCCTTTTTATGGACATCTCCTGCGTGAAATCACCGTGGCGACTGGCGGTAAGTTGAGATCAGCTCTCGGGTTTGTATTTATTAGTGTTATTATTGGACCCACTGTATGTGCTTGGCATATTAGAGTGTGTAATGAGACTTTTTTTATTGCTGTGGAGTGTTGGGAGGGGAATGTGGGGAGATGTAGAAAATGAATTGTTTTTCCACCTGTGTTTTTTTACCACTGAGCTGTCGTCTCATCCCGGAGTTCAGGGAAGATTAAAACTTCAAGTTATTTCTTCGGATCACGCCTTTGGGAAAGTAAAATGGTCAAATTAAGAGCCAAAAAATCTCGTCTGGCAGGAAACCACGATACAAAACCACCAACAGGCCAAGCAGTCAGCCTGATGCAAGACGTCTAGATCTCTCACCTCCATCAGACGTTTGCTTGTTGAAGACCTGAAGAAGAAGAAAACACTCCCAACAATCAGCACCGTCTACTTCATGCCAGACTGAGCTGGAAGAGAAACCAGCCCGGTGGTTTCGGACTGGAAACAAGACTTGCTTTGTCAATTTGCACTCTGATAGAGCGGGATAAGAAGGTGGGGGTATCAGACAATGTGTGGCTGAGGAACGTGACACAGCAGTTGTGTTCGCCACAGTGTGCAAAGTAATTTTCCACTTGAGTCTTGACAGTGAAGCCACAAACACCCCAACCAGCAATTATCCCATCAAAGACTAAGCCTGCTTTTACTCAACTATTTCGGAGATCTTTTGCTGCATTTGAGTCACACAGAAATCATTTGTTGCGCCTCTTATCGTCGTTATTATTGCTGTCTTGTTTCCCAACTTAATCCCAGACTAGAAGCTGTTTTTGTCTTCTTCTTTGGGGATAATGGCGAAGAGGATGGTCGCAGGCTCTACCAGCAGTGAGGAGATAATAGGAATTTGCATTCCTTCAGACAGAGATGGAGAGGCGACAGAGGAGGAGGAGGGAGCTATCTTCCTCTCACAGGCCTCAGGGGTTTTGTCTTCAGGACGCCTTTTCTCCTATCCCTCCATCAGTCAGTCCTCATCCCCTCCTCACCACTCCATCTTTTCAGCAGCACTTCATTTCCATCAGCAAATCTGTTTCTACTGGAGCAGAAAGGATGATTTTTACACTCCTAAAAAAAAAAAGAAAAGAACGAGATACTTTTTTACATTTATGTTTTTGGTCGTTTCCCCCCCTAAAGCATCCAGTCCTCCAGCACAGAGCCGCTCTGGCTCAAAAGATTGGACAGGCATGCTGCTTTTTCAAATTTCACATTTAATACTCTTCTTTTATGGTTGCATACAATAAATCTAGAATTACTGCATGTTTCTACCTTGACAGTGACATTTGTTTGAAAGGGTTTAGGTTGGTAAGAGGAGCCCAGCGTGCAAAAAGAAAGTTAAAATATATTAGAATTTATTTTTCAAGGCAAGTAATTCCCATTTCCCAAGTTTTATCAGATGTTTGTCTTTGAAGTCACAATTAGAATCATTATATAACAGTTAAAAATACCTATTAATATATAAAGTTAAGTGAAAATCATTTGAATTTTCTTCACATGTAAGTTTTGGGTCACGTGCAGTTAGTGGAACATGAAACGTTCTGTGTAGTTTAACAACGCAGTTACAAGTCAAGTCATGGCCTTAGTCTTAGTTTGTAATAAAATTAAAGTCTCTCCTCTGTTTTTGATTAAAAACCTCACAGCTTTGTCATTAAAGCTTGAAGACTAAATAAAAAAGAGGGTGTGTGCAGATCCTCTCAGCTCAAAATATCTTGTAAATTACGCACAGCTCAGCTGACTTTGTCTAAACACATTGTCTAATAAAGTAAAGCTTTAGTCTGGTGTGGTTTGATGATTCCCAATCGTGTTTTTCTTGGAGAACTTCAGTCCAGCCCTTTCTGAAGGCCGAACACATAAACAGAACTAGCCAGTGAGAAAAACCCACCTTCTCTCTATTATTGATGTCTCTTCCCTCTCCCCTAGCCATTGCTCCCTGCTTCTCCTCCTCTTCCCACTCTCTTTCTGCTTAAAGTGACATCTATAATGAATGAATAGACTCTTCATTGGGCGCCCTGCAGGTCTCACCTCTTTAGTGTATTGAAAGGGTGTCTGATTTTCTTTGGAATGTCTATTAAGTTGTTTTCAGGCGTTTTCTGGTGGAAAGCAGAGGCAGCACCACAGATGAATCCCTGTCTCTGCAGGTTTTATGTTTCCAGACTGGCAGAAACAAAAAAGGAAGCCTGGACAAAGACAGAGACGTGGCAGCATGCTTAAATATGAGCTGAAAATTGTCTCTTGATGTCAAATAAAGGCATTTTTATATTTGGATTAATCTGGACAGGTAGACATGACGAATCAAAGGACATGTTTGGCTCGTTTCCACTATCAAAACTTCTGAGTAGTTTTCCCAGACCTTCACGGCCTGGTCATTTTCTTCGTTTCTGTAGGCCGGCCTGAAAGGAACACTTTCCAGGCCATTACAGGGACCAGCCAAATACCTGCATTGGGTTATGTACTCGGAAATGGCCCAGCAGAGTCACTGGGCGGGACTTTGGGTAACTCAGGCTGATTGGTTGTAATTCAGTGGGAAAGGATATCAGCAGTCGACACAGCAGGATATTCATGCCCATTCTGGACCACCCCCGCCCCTTCGGACAGTCTTCAAGCTGTGCATAATTTCTGTAACGGATCTAAAGATAATCTTATGAGATAATCCTACCGTTTGTGGTGTGTTACAAGCACTCTCATTCGCTCAGAAGGACGACGGGACTTCTTAGATCATAAAACCACACTTTCAAACATGTTTGATTAGCTTGGTCTGATTTTCCGGGACAAACAAACATGCTGCTTGTTGAATGTGATGTGTGGCCAATCGAAAACCGAGGTGACTGAAGCTCAATACACTCTCCTACCCCGCCATGTTGGTTTACTTCAAAGTCACATTTTGTCTCACAAGATTTTTCATTTCCCAGAGTATTTGTCTAGTGAACGCAGCTAAGCTTAACCATCTCAGGCTCAAAAAAAGTTTTGATAAAAGGACGAACAACTAAGTCCTTCAGGGATACTTCTGAGTCAAAAATGCTCATGAAATATGTATGTGGAGGAACCAGGTAGGTAGGTTTTAACTGTTGCAAATCTGCAACGCCTGCCTCCAGAGGGTTAAACTCTGACAGTTGGGCAAGAATCAATGTACGTGTGTGTGTGTGTGTGTGTGTGTGTGTGTGTGTGTGTGTGTGTGTGTGTGTGTGTGTGTGTGTGTGTGTGTGTGTGTGTGTGTGTGTGTGTGTGTGTGTGTGTGTGTACGTCATCCTGAGCAAGCAGAACGGAGCCTGAAGAAAGAGGTTGACTCTTTATCCAGAATATGGCTTACTTGAACAGTTTTTTTCCAAGAATGAATACTGCACTTTTAACCTCTTTTACATGTTGCAACCTGCCTGGCTTATGTCAATCAGTTGACTTGTTTATGTATTCACTCTTGTTTTGAGTTCAGTGGTGGATTGGATGGTTCCACGTCCCCATCGTAATCAAGAAGAAACAGTTTTACACTTTGTTCATGTTACACCGTCAGTGGCCTCAGTATCATGTAGAAGATCTACACGCAGCCACAACGGCTTGACTCCTCCCCCTCTTGCTGGTTACTACTCTGGTCACAACTAGATGTAGCCAGGCAACCCATCCTATGTATGTGAATATATATTATAACCAGACCCATTGAAACAAATGAAACAAAATCTATGGTTGTCCCATTCCTCAACCAGTAAATGCAACATTCCCAACATTTTCCATCAAATCCACAAGATGCAATTTTCTCCTCCACATAAATTCTCGTCAGATTTTAAAGTATCCATTAAATGAATATTACAAATGTATAAGTGGAGAACACCAAAAAGGCTATTAAATGTAACCATGGCAACTTTGAAGGCATGTAGCTCTCGGTGCCTTAACTCCTCTTCAGGTAGCCTTCTCACTTGGTTAATTCAAGTCATATTCTTCTCTGCTCTTGATCTGAGTGCTGACAGCGCTCTATATAAAAGGTATTTCAGACAAGAAAGGTCTTCTGGGAACCATTATTACCATCTGTTCAGCATGTAGTTTCCAGAGTGATAGATGTGTTTTTACAGCCCACCCACCCATAAAGAGACATATGGTTACATGAAATTAGAGTTCATTGGGCAAGATTGGAGATATTTTACAAAAAAGATAAAATATAAATCACGTTTCTGAGTTTTTAAGCCTCCTGGAGTGTATTTTTTATTCTAAGCTGCAGGCAGCTTGTTTTTATACAGGAGCTCCAGGCCAAACCGTGTCCTCTCAGAAATATTTCATGTTTGGTGATTTTGTTGCAGTACTATACAATTCAGAGAGGTGTTTTATGTTTTGAGAAGCAACACATTTTAAGAAAAAAAAATGTTTAGGCTGAAAAACATGGATTTAAAGTTTGATCTCTGTAAAAAGCACAACAATGATCATTTTGTTTAGGCAGAAGCCTCACTGCTTCACAAAACAATTACCACCTCCTCCGCTTGGCGTTTCGTGAACATGTTTGAATTTGGCCCTCCTTTATGTTGATTTTATTTCACGGTTTTCATTGGTTCACTTTTTCCCTTGTTTTACACATTTGTCTTCTACTAGAATGTTTCACCTTTTTTGTAATTTGTAATCTGTAATTTGAAATGCTTTTATTTTCTGATTTATTCACTTTCTTTAACTTTGTACTGTACCATGTTCAGCGCCTTGGGCTTCCTGACAGGGTTGCGGAAGGCGCTTTATAAATAAAGCTTTGATTGATTGATTGATTGATTGATTGATTGATTGATTGATTGATTGACACCAAATAATTCCTTGTTTGGACATTCGGGCTTCGTAGAAACTTTGAATGTTTATCCATGTTTTGTCTTACTCATTCATTATATATCAAACGTCTCACCATGACTGGCCACTCGGTTCTTTTACTGTCTTTGTTGACAAAATTCAATACTGTAAAATATGTTTTCTTAGGTAAAAAAAAATCATCTCCACAAATAACAAGTCTGAATGTGTTCCACCATGGTCTGGAGTTGCTAATGGTTAGCTTACTTTCAAGTCAAGGTGGGCGAGGCCGTGAATGCTGATTTTCCCTGTGATGTAGAAGAGCATTTTCTGACTCAATTGTTTTCCTTTTTACTGCTAATGCAGGAAATTTGGGTTGAAGACTACTTTCCCGTTCAGCATGCAAATTCAATTCAGAGTGACCCATCGTATTTCAAAAAGAGCAAGTAATATATTGTTTCTCACTGATGCAGACCTTTAAATGGATACAAAGCAATTTTGGCTTGCTTTTAGCACCCCATAGTGTCCGTTTAGCAAAACCAAAAGTGAATCTATACATTTGTCTTCCTAACACCTTAATCTGACTGCTGAAATGTTTCCTCAGCCTTCATTAGTTTCTAGAGGAACAGTTCATCACTAATTCAAACAAATCTGCCATGTTCACGATCCAAAAAAATGCATGAAACGTACTGGAAGCAGCCTGCAGTGCTAGACATGTCAGCTCCACTTTATTAAGTCCAACTGGGACCAGACTCTGGAGTTGCAAGAGCAATATTCTGGCCACAGAGAGCAGTGGGGTGATATAGTATTCCTTTAAATTCTTTGTAACAAGTAGCTCAGTTTTACCACCTGCTGATGTAAACTGGTAACTGCAGCTTTCGTAGGCTGTGATCTCTAAAGAGTTTTGACTTGTGATTTCAGTAAAAGTGGGTAAACTAGGGAGTTTTGTAAAAATAAACTCTTTATTTGCATGAATAAGTATAAAGGAATAACAGATGATTCAACAGAAGGCATATCAGTAATATGGTTTCACAGACACATGAACTAATTATTTAGTCATAACCTCACCTACTGGCTCTACAACTACACAAACAACAAAGAACAGAATAAAATGATAAATCCAGGGTATACACAGTATATGTATGCTTAAAAATGGACAAACAGTTCGAACCACATCAAAAAAGACAGCAGTTTTTCTCCTGATAAATAAAAACTAGTCAGCTTTTTCAAAATAACAAATTGTTCTTGTTTCTGATATAAATCGTTCAGGAGAAAAACGTCTTTGAAGAAGGAAAAAAACACTCATATTGGCAGCAATGTTCATTAAACTGTTCCTCAGGTAGAAAAGTTTGGAGTTCTAAGATTATTTACCTGCTGATTGCCAGGCAAATTATTCAAGTTTTATTTTACAAGAATCTGAACAAAAGCATTTGTGTTGAATAAATGTTAGAAGAGTCGCTGACTTTGCTAAAGGTCAGTCAGCGGGGTAAATTTAAAATGTTTGACTTTGTCTACAGATGTCCTCCATGTGATGAATAGTGGGCATTTTAAAGAATCCATTAGTTACGTGTTTACAGGCTGCTAAACGATGCAACTTGAGATGTTTTCTCTGTCTCATATTGGAAAAAGTAGCAAAACTACTTTTTTATGTCATGGTACTTTTATGGCATATTTGTATAGCGCCTTCTTAGGGTTCCACAACCCCCCAAGGTGCTTTAGAACAGTCATTCATTCATTCATTCACACACTGGTGGAGATAAGCTACGATGTAGCCACAGCTGCACTGGGGCAGACTGGTAGAGACAAGGTCTTCCAAACACTGGCACCAATGGTCCCTCTGTCCACTACCATGAGGCAAGGCAGGTTAAGTGTCTTGCCTAAGGACACAGCAGCATTCTCTGGTCAGAGCTGGAATCGAACCTGCATTCTTCCAATTACTGGACAACCTGCTCTACCTCCTGAGCTACTGCTGTCCCTTTTACTAACGTGAAGTAAATAACTAATAAGTCGCAAATTCCTGTACTCCTTCAACATTCATGCCCCTCTACTTTGCTTTATTCCCCCATCTTTATAATAGCTTGGCCTCTATCACAAGAGGGGAAGCAGACATGTGTTTGTGTTTAATGAGCACCTTTATGTTTGAAATCAAAAAGTAGCTTTGGTGATAAACAGGTATACACAGCATGAGTCATTTCTGTAAAAAAAGTAAACATGTATTTTTCATATTTGTGTTTGCTCCATCAGGTTTCATTTACACTGGCGATGTTGTTCACCGTATGCTCACAGCTACACAGTACATTGCCCCTCTCATGGCCAACTTTGATCCAAGTGTCTCAAGAAACTCCACCGTCATCTATTTTGACAATGGTAAGAATTGTTTCTCAAAATTTTGTGATTATTTATTTAAAAGGGTAAAACTGTGATTTTCCAGGAACACCAGGAATTTAATATAAAAGGTATTATGAAGGCTTTTGTTTCAGACTTTGTGGTCAATTTTACAGCAACTATGCCCATGTTTGGTCCTTGAAATGGATCCCTGCTGCAACACACCATAGCCAAGTAAAAGTTGTAACATGAACAAAAATAAATAATCTTAAAACCCAAGTTTCTTAATTTGCAAGCCATCCTATATATGTAAATATGTAGTCTGGCCATGAAACTTTGGGTCATGGGACAGACTCTATGGTTGTCTTTCAAACTGGCTCAACATGCTACTGGACAAGGACCAGAATCAGAAACAGAATCACTTTATTGCCATTGCCTCAGCATCCTGAAGCATAGAAATGTGTCTCTGCAGCACAGCCTGACCAAGGTTAAGTGAACAGACACGTAAAAAAACAGATACAGGCAGACTACGAGAGCAGTCAGCAAGGAGTGACATACTCACCGCAAAGTATATCAGTCAATGAGGCAGTCTGCCGTACACCGTTGAAGAAGAAGCACCTCTATCTGCTCTTGACTCCAAGAAAAGCTCAAATCTAGAGTCATAAGTTGATTCCAAAACCATTTCAAACCGCTGCCATCTTAGTTGTTCCTCCCTTTTACATCTTTCTGCCCATCAAACCAATAGGGTGCTGGGATTGCAAGATGCAAGACTGTCCTGGCCTGCTGAGTCTCTTTTGGAGCGTGGCTAGACCGACATGCCAAGCAAAGTCATTTTGCTTCGGCTACTGTCTGTCTAGATTTCTACACTAGGGTGGTCAGAGAAGCATGAATAATGTTGGAATCATCTGGCAAGAATGGGGGTCTACATCTAACCATGTTTATTAGCCAGTATGTTTACAAAAACCACATTGTTGCCTTAGTTCGACTGAAGTTGGACTTTGAATGCATATAAAGCCCTTAGTCTGGCTGAAGTAGAACCAAACTGGCCTACTCCTAATCAAGCTAAGGTACCCCTCTAATGTGCTTATAAAATCAAATTTCTCTGCATGTAAACAACACCCCAGTGTATTCGAGCTATGACCGGCGTAGGCACTCCCCCTTCTGGAAGTGACAAGACTGCTGAAGCGGTCCTCTGATAATATCATCGCCACAAGACTCTGTGTGAATCTGACATGTGACACCATCAAAAATTACAGTACTTACCAAAGGTACGGTGCTGCAGCATTTTTGCCATTGCGTAAATTCTGCTTTTACCATCTGCTGCGCTCCTGCCAGCATTTGTTTATTATTTGGGTTATTTTCATAACATCATTAGAATGCATGACCTCCACAAATCCCTCTAAATTCCACTCTCACTTTAAACTAGGGCAAAATCTCAGATCCTCTCCTTCTTCAACTATTGAGGTTCTTATCCATCATGTCCATCATCACTGACTCACTCAGTTGGAGAGTGACAAACCAACAGTGTGACCTTATGCAGAGAGGGCGGACTTTAACCAAACGGGCAGCCGATCGATTCGGAGTCAGCCTGCTCCTCACCTTACTGTCCATCAATCAGCATTCTGCCAATATGAGAAAGGAACTCCACAGTCTGATGTGCTATGGAGGAGCCATCATTAAAAAAAGAAAGAAGCTAATTGGATTATGCTTTTTCTAGCAGAAGCCTGTTGTTTGTTCACAGGACTGAGAGGTTGGTGTGAAGCTTCACAGCGATGGCGTGAAGCTTTGCCATCAGATGTTCAGTTCATCACTTGTTTTTGATAATCTCACTTATTAAATATTCCAGACATATGACTTGTGAAGACATGACTTTTAAAGTGTTGTAGTAAACTGTCACTTTTTTCTGCATTAGATGAAATACTTCAGTGATTTCTACAGTCAAATTCTGATTTGACAAAAGTGAAGGACAGTTATTTTTAATTAATTAAATTTAAATGAAATATAACTGCAGATTTTATTTTTTGTGGGTTAATTTTCTAATTATTTTTGCACACTAGATTAGTCAAGACCCAGTCGCAAACATTCTGATCTCCAGTATATTCAGCAAAGCTAATTTTAAGAATTGTTGGCCCTTTTGTTCTCCACTAATGGAGCTAAACAGAATTACGTGGGTCATACACTTCAATAAGGTGTTATAAAAATTAAACAAATGTAGAAGTTGTAGCTTTTACTGGCACAGATGTTGCATTCTGCAAGAGCAAATAAATGTTGACAGTAAATGGGGTTAATTTGCTAATTAGGTATTTTAATAGTTTTGAGGTCAAAAGAGTTGTTTGTAAATTAGCTTCCTTTTTTCTACTTTTTATTGAGAGGGTGTTTTTCACTTAATTTAAGTGTAATGTAATAATAATAATAATGTATATATACAAATATATGTTATATACATATTTAATTATTTTTTTATTATTTTTTTTCAAATTCAATTCAATTCTATTCAAATTCAATTCAATTCAAAGATAGTTTATTAATCCCAGAGGGAAATTAGAGATTAGAAATTATTATTAGATTACACTTAATATAATTTATCTATTCTTTTTTTTCATGTAACTACACTGAGTGGCTCAAGAATCCATGCATATTTATATCCAGAAATGAGGAGATGGTTCAAAGAGAAGGGGTCCCAGTGTTGAGCCATGGGGGACACCTACTATGTCTAAGCTGTACAGCTGGCTTGGATGCAAACTTATTAATTAGAAAAATATGACATGAAAATGTATTTGAAACAGAATCTTTTTTTTAATCAGTATATGTGATGTTGTGATCTCTGTGTGTTTTGGAGAAAACAGGCAAATTCTCAAGATATTTTTAACGAGTTTTACCTACAGTCATAGGTCACATGGAATATATGGCAGAATGCGACAGTTGTGTCACCAAATGTCTTATGCATACATATTAATTTCTTGTGCTTTCCAACTCACTTAATCTAAATCAAAAATGATTTGTGATTTGTGCCAAATGCCTACAATGACTTTACGTTAAGAAATAATGTGTTTAACTATTTTTAACAACTCTAACAAGTTTCAGCAACAGGAAATTAAAGGCCTTCAATTCACACGAGGAACACTTGCAAACATTTCAAGACCTTTTGGAAACTCACCAACAACCGCAGCTTACTGAGATCCTAGTTTCAGACAGCAGATTTAGAACTTGCTGTGATACTTTATGTAACAAGGATATTTTTGTTTATTTTAACATCCTACTGCATGTAAAACTTAGAAGTGGAAATGGAAACAAGGCCAGTGTTTTCTCTCCATGCCTTCTCACCCACTTTGTATTTTTAGCCGGAAAGCCCCAGATATCATGGCAGCTTTCCCTCCTGAGATCCATTCATCTCCAGTTTGTTTTATTAGTAAAAGCTGTAGTTTGTGCTGACAGAGGGGCGCCGCTGCACCACATAAGAGCTATTTGGTGCTCTAGTCACTGATATTTAACGTTTTTTTCTTCGGGGTTTAACACTGGTAATAAAAATGTAAAAAAATATATGATTTTTTTTCCCAGATCGAAAGCCTTCTTCACACAACATGTAATTCATTAGCGAGGTTCCTGTACTACAACTCGCCTTTGATCTACGAGCCATTGAGAAAAAAAAACTCTTTACTTGGGATGGAAGCATTCTAGCTGTGTGACTGAAGAATTGATTGACAGTGTAAACAAACCTTTATTACCCTGACAACTAGGGCTGTAGCGACGCCTCGATGACGTCGACGGCTCGATTCTAAAAATTTGTCGACGTCAGATCCGGTAGTCGACGCACCGCGCCCACTTGTTGCATCCCCAGGAGTTTGTAAATAGAGGAGGAATCTGCTTGTTTTTCCTCTAGTTCACCCTCTTCTCCACCTTCACTAACATCTCCACCGAATACCTAAGACCCAGAACAATGTCCATCCGCTACTAGATTCCTTTCCTGTTTTGCCCGCCTTCGTCTCCCGGCAACGGACAACAACTTCCGGGGTCAGATGCGCTGCTTCGTCTCTACCGCAGATGTAGAAAATCACCGGGAGCGTTTCTCCCTTCATTAAGGAGCTTCTTTCAGACATTAGGAGAGCTGTTTTGGTGGTAGCAGTCTCTCCCTGCTGGTCTGTTTACTGCTGGGTATTTTTGGTTTATTTAAACTTGGTAACTTGAACTTAACGTTGGTAAAGCTACTGTTAGCATCTTCGCTAACAGCTTCTTGCGTTTGGAAAAGCTGTTACGTTTTGGTTTAGAGTTCATCTTTTTTTGTGGTGTAGATCTCCCTTTTATTACATTTAGAGTGTTGTGGGTTTTTGGTTTCGTTTAAAATATCACCTTGAGTTTGTTTTAACCGCCCAGTTTAGAGTTGGACCTTTGGAGATTCTTATTTTGGTCCAGAACCCTATAATCTTTGCCCAGTGGGACATCCCTACTTATTTGTACTTTTGTTTTAATTCCCCACAGGCAGAATTAGTTTTATTATTCCCAACCTGTGGATGGAAAGGTTTATGTTTTTTTTATAGTTGTAAATAAACCTGATCATCATTTTAACTTTTAAATCCCGTTATTGTCCCTTCCTTTTTGCACACGAGCCAAACTCCCCAGGAAGAGTCGTAACACCACTCGCCTCACGCTCATAAGTGACCAAAACAAAGCAGCATGGAGACACTCCGTCTCCAACCAGCTCTCAGGCAGCAGCCTGCACTCCCAAGTTCTACACGTCACCACAACATAACCAACCACAACACAATAAAAGCAGTGTTATACAAAATGGAAGGCCTGTAGTGTTTATTATCTTACAGTAACAATTTATTCATTTTTTTGAGGAATTTATTAGAGATTTTTTGGTTTTTATTAACTGCAATAGAAAAATAATCATTAGATTAATTGTCTAAATAGTCATTAGAATAGTCGACTATTCGATAAAATAATCGTCAGAATAATCGTTTTAAAAATAATCGTTTACCCCCAGCCCTACTGACAACTGACCAAATGGCTTTTACATCAATAAGTTCTCCAAAGTTCACAGTAAATCAAAACTGTGTTAAAACTAAAGCGAAACTCATGTTCCAGTGGGTAGAGACCGAAGCCGTGTTTGGGGATTGGTTTTTTTTACATTCGGTCCACTCTCTTTTGTTGGAGATCAGTCACAGGGTTCTGGAAACATGTGATCAGATAGATTTAGGTAGATCTTTGAAAAATGTACTGCTGCTGATGTCTGCTCTTTTCTTTTAAAGGGGTTCTAGAACAACTTTGAAACCCATCTATGAGCCTCTATGAAAAATACATGAAAAATTGTTGGAGCTCAAAATGGCCCAGGAGTCCAAAAAATGGCCAACTACAATCCCATAATAAAGTCCTACAATGGAAAGATTGGTTTACCTTAATGAGCTGCTTGCTGATTGGTTGGTTTACCCCAATGGCTCATTTACTACAGGAAGGAAAGTCGGCACATTACACACGTCTGACTTTCTTCTTTGTTGTTTTCTTCTCATCCAACTAGGACATTAGGAATAGCTTGGGCTAGAATTAGCAGTAGCTCGAGCTAGCATTAGCTTGGGCTAGCATTAACAGTAGCTTGAAATAGCATTGGCTGAAGCTTGGTAAAGAATTGGCAATAGCTCAAGCTAGCCTTAGCAGTAGCTTGGGCTAGCATTAAAAGTAGCTTGAGCTAGAATTATCAGTTGTTCAGGCTAAGATAAATAGCTTGAGATAGTGTTAATAATAGCTCGGGCTAACGTTAGCAGTAGCTCAAGCTAGCAGTAGCGGTAGCTCGGGCTAGTATTAGCAGTAGCCCAGGATAGCAGTAGCATTAACTTTGGCTGGCATAACCAGTAGCTTGAGCTAGCATTAGCAATAGCTCAGGCAATTATTAGTAGTAGCTCAGGCTAGTGTTGTCTTGCAGTTAGCATTACTGCAGCCAATGTTTATGTATTTCTTATGTTGAAGTAAGTAGGGACACGGGACACGCAAATTTAAGGTGGTACGTCGAAGCAAATGACATGTTATACCAGTTTTTCTCAGAATGAACTGTCTCTCAGTGGCCATAACAATATTACTAATTTACATTTAAAAAAGTAGGTTAGACGACAGAGACCTTTTGGTATGGTAAATGAGACACCCCGACCTTCCTCTATTGAAAAACAAGAAGCTAAATGTGGTTATGAATTCTGGAACCCCTTTAAAAATCTGCATGCTAAGAGAAACCTTTCATACTAACCTTAAAGATCTTGCATAAACTGACCGTTTTCTGGAAGAGCAGAGTTTTTGTCTTTAAAAAAAAACCCTCTCAATCGGAGCAATTGGACACTGCCAAAACCCACATCCCCTCATCTACACCAGATTTATTCTCAGCTTTGTCATTCAGCCAACATGAACTGTCAGTGAAAAAAAAAACTTCCCCAGCTACATAATGCTTCAGAATAATGTGCACTCTTTGATTTTATGTTGTCAACAGCTTGAGTTTTATTGTGGGTTTTTCCTACCTCCAGTTGAGTGTTTTCATATGAGAGCTGATTCAGTGTCAGCCACCTCACACACACACACACACACAAGAAAAATATAGTTTCTGCCAAGAAAATAACTGTTCCACCAATGACATCTTATTCCTTGCCTTGTCAATGCCTCATTCTGCAACAAAAATGGAAAACCTTTATTGTTTGGTGATAAATTTTTTTTTTCTCTCTTCAGGTACAGCTCTGGTAGTGCAATGGGACCACGTCCACCTGCAGGACAACTACAACTTGGGAAGCTTCACCTTTCAGGCCACGCTGCACAACACAGGCCGGATTATCTTTGCATACAAAGAGGTTGAGAACAAAAACTTTTCTATTTCTGACTATGTTTATTACAACATCGCCACAAGTTACACTGTTGATTTATAATTCCTCACTGATGAAGCTCCAGATTTGGTACTAAACACAAGCTTCAGTCCTCTTTGTTTATTCCCTGCATGTCAAAGTATTTCTCACTCATTTCCTCTGCTCTTAGATTAGATTAGACATCACAGAATATCCCTGTGGTGTGACCATGACACAAAATAATATTTCTCAATAAAAAACTATTTAAATGTGGTGTTTATTCTGCTAGAATATATATTTGTTGTAATAAAGCTTTGAATAATGCCACAATTTTTTTTTTCAAATCTGTTTATTAATGCCTAGGTCCCTAATTTATATTAAAGCACGATCTAATAGAACAGAAAGCAAACTGGGTTATGGATAATAATAATATCCGACAGAGACCGCTGCAGCAGTGTGAAGCTGCAATAATAATGAGTAATGATCCATGATTATTGCAGCAGTTATAACAGCAGGACTGAAGGCTCTTGTGTCATTTATTATTTTCACGTGTGTTGTTAAGTCTCAGCATTAAATCTAAACTAAAACTGATAATCAAACCAATGCACTAAATATTTGTCATTTTAGTGATAATAAAGTTTTGTTAATAATGTTGAAATGTCACATAATAATTGTTATTTTTATGCATATTTTCAAAAACCAAAAACGGCAGTTTTGAATATGGATTAATGCTATATTTATGTGTTAAAGGCAACACAATAAGTTTCCAGTTGCTCACTCCTACTGGTTGAAAGTGTAATTACAACTGTTGTAAACCACTCTGCCACAGCCTGCTATAGCTAGTGCTAACGACAAACTAACGCCAGCTCTAGCCAACTACTAAAAAAAGCCACAAAATTAATAGTTAGAATAATAAATATTATTACTTACAAGTCCAGTAGCAACAAAGCCAGGTCACCATCAGTCCATGATTCTGTAGCCTCCTTCTGCTCCCTCAAATGAGTGTAGGCCGCACCGATGTTCACTTTGGTTTTAGCTCTTTGCTTCACCTCCATAGACATTACTCTCTTATTTTTACTTAATAATAAAGCAGATAGAGACTTCTCACTAGTATTCTACCCAAACTACAAAACTGTTAAGTGCAGTTTCTGGTCAGCAGAGGGCTACAGAGTGCTGTCTGATGTAAAGGTATTCAAGTTTCTGGTTCAAGAAGCACTGAAGCTAGTTTGAAAGCAATAACTGAAGTATGAAAAACTCTTTAGTGTTGTTTTAAATTGGCTGGCATGCACCAGCACACAGTACTGGCACCCTCTGAGCATACCTTTTCTAATATATAATGTGTACTGGTGCTTTTTCCGGCCTTTACCAGTCAATCTCCAAAGTCACAGAAATCTGTCCAGACTTAAATAAACAACAGCTATTTGCTTTTGCTTCAAATTTAACTAAGAACGGAAGGGCACATTTCCATTTATTTCCACCACCACCCCACACACACATTTTTCAAGGGGACGACCTACACTTTTTTTTCTCACTTAAGCACTGGTTCAAATGAGATGTTTTGCTAATTACTGCTGGAAAGAAATTCCCGTGGCAATTGTCAACACCAACACCAACTCATGACCTTTTTAGCATTTTGGATTTTCTTCCAGCTCTTGCTTTTTTTTCTCCTCTCCCTCCCTCCTCATCCCAAGGCTCTTTGTCCTGTCTTTGTGTGCACGGTGCTTTCTGCATTTTTTCTGGAAACTGGAAATTATTAAAAATGGATCTGGTCAGTTGGTCTCAACACGATTGACAAAAATTTTTCAGCAATGAGAAGGGGCTCCCGGATGCCCCTCTGGGACAGAGCCTGCTGGGTGTATCATGGACTCCTGGAAACAGTGGAACCTGAAATGCCTCTCTCAACTGTCTGCAGAGGATTCTGAAGATGTTTGGATATTGATCGTTTTGGTGTCGGGATTCCTGCTGTTTGGCCTGAGCGGTTACTTGGCTTACCGTAAAATTAACGAGCTTTTGAGGAATATTGGCTCAATCCCGGAGCTCAGGGATGGAATGCATCGTGTTGTGAACGCACAAACTCATAATTGTCGAGATGAGTCGTAAGCTTGGAACTTTGGCTGAGATTAAGGCTCTAGCACAGAAGGTGGATTCCATCAAGGAGCGAGTTGACGGATCAGCACGGATTGGGATAGATTAATTACGCCATTATTGGATCTAGAGGGGTTGAAGACCAAGAGAACACTAAGGCAGAGAGGAAATTATCTCTGTCTGTCCCCAAACAATTCTTATCTGAATCTGGTGCCCTTGGAGCCTGTGAGGCTGAAGTGTAAACTCCCCTCAGAAGAAATATGTAATGCTGTCGTCGCTATGGAAACTCTTTCTCCCTATCCCAGCCTGGGTGGGACTGCAACCGGTGAAGGCTGTGGAACCGAATCTAGGAGTCAGTGTGCCCTCTACCCCATTATCACTCTCCCCTGTCCAAACGGAGGTGATGAGCGCTGCTCCATGCGGCTGCACGCATTGAAGTGAGGAGAGTCCCAACCCATACCTCCCCACCTAGTGGACACTAACGTCTGAAGTCTGTGTGCATATCTGTCTGAGGTGTTTTTTTGCATAGCAAAGCTACCCTCTCTGTTGGGGGTAACTCTGAAGTGCCTTTTTTCCCCTCCCCCTGACTCTATCCTCATATAAACCCTCTTGATCTATTATGGTAGTGCGACTCGGGTTGCGAATGATCACAGTCCCCAATTCTTGTCATGTGTCTATTTATGTATATCTGATCTCAGAATTGTGTGTACTGAAACTCTAATTTCCCTCTGGGATTAATAAAGTATTTTTGAATTTGAATTTAATTGAATGTCCCGCTGAGATCTTCACTATGAGTTATTTTCATGTAATATTCTTATTTCAGATTCCCACTGAGATATCACAGATCAGTTTTGTCAACCACCCGGTGAAAGTGGGCCTGTCCGATGCTTTTGTAGTGGTCCACAAAATCCAGCAAATTCCCAGTGAGTTTCTTTCTTTCTCTTATTTTTTATTTTTATTTGTGGGGGGAGAGAATGCAAATTAATACACAGAGTGCAATCTGTGGTCATTTTGTAACCAGATAAATAGTTAGTGTTACAACTCTGGTGAAGAGGTCTGAGACGTCCCAGGTTCAAATCCCGGACGAGACCCCATTTGTTTTGACCCAGGCATCTAGGGGACCTGGGGTAATATGGAGGATGCGTGACATAGGCAAATCAGGATGTAAAATAAAAGGATTTATTTAACACAATGTGCTCCTGACGTCAGGCATAAACCTTTACCCAAACATTCCACAAACTAGTTAATACAAGGAGCATAATCAGTTTTAGTTCAATGGCACCACCTGCTTTTTACATTTTCTTCAGTCTCAGGAATCGGCAGGAACCGCACATTTGTTTTAAATTGCTGCACTTAATCCCCAGTAAATTTAAACCTAATACAACCAAATGGTAAAATACTCAAATCTGTTCGATGTAGTCAGACTCTAGCTGTTGGATCTGACTCAAAATCTGATGCAATAATGAGTTGTCAAATGTGATTAATTCTGCAATTAAACTTCAGTTCTTATTTTAGGTATGAAATCTAAGCAGAGTGTATTTGTCTGAGGTGGGAATTGCAATTTCCTGCACTTGGTGTCAAACAGTAATAAGGAGGAAAATTAGAGGTTTTGTCAAAGTTGAAACAAATTTCATAAACAAGCTTTGTTAATAGAAAAAGTTTCTTGGCCTTTTGTTGTTTTATCTAAGTCAACACCCAGAATTCTTTATAGAAGAAAATGAGAAATGATGACAGTTTCAACTTAAATTCAACGTATTGAGCTGTCTTTGATCCCTCTGGCTCTGCATGATGAAACCAGCGAGGCTGGTTAGTTAAAAGAGTGATGAAATCCTGATAAGATGAAGAGACAGAAATTATTCAACATCAGGATGATTTATCGTTCAAAGACTTGATCTCACTGCTCTTCAAGAACCAGGAGTGCTAAACAAGTTTTGGCAAGAAAAACATATTTATAGTTTTAATAGGAGCTCCTTGCTTGGTCAGAGCCAACACCTGCTGCAGGTAAAGAAGAAGGGCATTTACTTTGTTAATTTTTGTTTTGTTTTGGCTAGATAAAGATGAAAGGTAAGATAGCCTCTCACTGGGCTAAGACTGTTGCTGATATGTGGCAAAGGGCTTTTGTTTGGGATATTTAAGAAATTCTATAAACAGTCACTTGTTGCCGAACCTTGATTTTGCTAACATGCAGGCTGAATGTGAAAATGGTTTTCTGCCCCTATTTCCTGTATTAGCTTCTGATAGAAAATAAACAAAAAACGCTTGGTTCAGAAAATCCTGACCGATCGACATCACACTGTCACATAACATTCATGGACTCACCCACCATGACACACGACGATAAAGGCTGCTGTTGATTCAGCATCCTGGAAACAACAGAGAACATCTAGTAGAAGCTAACCGTTAGTGTTAGCAACGCCACAACACAACAGCACTTCTTCAGGATTGCGAAGTTATTTGTGGAGATAAACCATCAATGTTGCAACACAAATGGAGTAAGTGGAAGGGTTGCATGGCTGTTAGTCAATCAGAGATGTCCAAATATTAGGAAATAAGACTCCAAATCTTACCGTCTTACGCCACTTTCTTCTCCGGCTGACTTCGATATCCTCTAAGAAATGCACCGAAGCTTTATTTCCACAGAATACGTCTTACAAGGCATTCATTCCTACTAGAGACCACTGCAAATGTGTAAAAACGTATGAGTAAAATTGACCTTTGATTATGTTTTTAAAATGCAGAATAATCTCATAGGCATCTGGAATTTATCTTTGACATTTTAGAGCATCTGAGTCCACGAGCTGGAGACCAAATAGCTATGTTTTTTTCACTAATTCAGTATGTTGTGTATTTCCTCACAATCACCAATTAGATGTGAACAGGTGCAATAATTGGTTAAAAAACATTTTTTTTCATAGAGGTAGTTAAAAAAGATTTTTAGAAAAGGGATAATAACTGCTCTTCAGATAGGAAGAAGATCATGTTTAATGACAAATTATTGTCATCGTATTTATTTTTTGGAAGAGTACAAAACGTTTCTCTTTAAATGTAAACAAACTGGTGTGATTTAATCTGCCAGAGCCAATGAATGATCAGCCCTTGAGATTCCTCAGTTCAACTATAAAATGAGTTCTGCCACATATCCGTCTCATTTTACCCTAGGTCTCCCCGCTAATTCTCATCATTCTGATAAAGTAGAATATTTTGACAGCTTTGTCGTACCCTTGTCATTCCAATTTACCATTTCCATTGGTTTATTTAGTGGAAAGAGTCATAACCCTGACAAGGGAAGAGCAGAGTAAAAACTATGAACATTTCAGGTTACAGTGTATCCGATAACCGTCTTTGCTGCCGCATCCAGCCCAGCAAAGACTGTAATAAATAATTCTTAGTAGGGCTGCAACAACGAATCGATAAATTCGATGAAAATCGATTACTAAAAGCGTTGGCAACGAATTGCGTCATCGATTCGTTGTGTCGCACAACTCTTCCAAAAGTGCCCCCCCCCCCTCCCGCCCGCCGTTGCGCGCAGACCAGAGCAAGTCAGATCAGCGCGAGGGAGAGCCGGCAGATCAGCGCGAGGGAGAGCCGGTACCGGCAGATCAGCGCAAGGGAGAGCCGGTACCGGCAGATCAGCGCGAGGGAGAGCCGGTACCGGCAGATCAGCGCGAGGGAGAGCCTGCAGACTTGCGCTGCTGCGAACCGGTTCCGCATTGTTGCGCTGCGATCCAGGCAGCTGCTTCCAGCGCATGGTCCATTCTCAAAGTGGCGCAACCAAAAAACTATAATTAGCACACGATCGTTCTTGTCTGCACATGTTCTCTATTTTCTGTCTTATTTGTGCCTGAAGCGCGCTACTGCGGAGCTCATCACCTGTGCTGTGGGGATGTCACCTCACGCAGCATCGAAAACGCGCTCTGCGCTTTGCGGTCAGGAGATCCCTTTGATCTGCTCAAAAGTAACTGATGAGGTGAAAAGGTAAGAATCCAGGCAACAGATTTTCTGGAGAATTATGAGGAGATGCAGGAAGATGAGAGACGGACAGGACAGGAAAATAGTTAAATAAAAACAATAAAACAAAACAAAGTGTTGAAAAGTAAAATGTAGGTAGATTTATCTCCACTACACGTTTTTACCAGTAAAAAACAATAAGTTATACACATGTCATATTTATACATCTGATACAATTCAGATCACCTTCAAAACTCAGTCACACACCCAGGGCCGTTTCAAGACATTTTGGGGGCCAAGGCAAAATGCCCCCCCAATAACTGGGCTCCCCAGAAGCCTCTGTGTAATTCATACCCTCTCCAGGAGTGTTAGTTATACAGTGTTTATAAAAGGCCCTCAGGCATTACTGACATGTTCTAATATTATCAGATGAAAAACTAAATTATCAGACATGCTGTCTCATCTGCTTCTTTTCTAAACTTGCAAAAAGTAACAAAACCATTTGAAAGCCACTATTTGTGGATTCTCTGAAAGTTTCCATGGAGTGTGTGACAACTTATTTTTTCATTGATCCTATCGTCTAATCTCACAGCTGAAACAAGCATCCTTGATAATCTGTGCACAGGAAGCTTACCGATGCTGTAGTAAAACAAAAGGTATAATAATTTATTATTAATAAAACCTTGTTGCAGCACTAAAGCATAAAAATGAGATTTTGCATTAAATATGCAAAATATTTACATATGAATTGTTTTAGAGCCCTTTTATTGGCAGAATCTGATATTAATTTAGTTCTTACAAAAAATGGGTCCCAACACGGTTTGTGTGGCGTTGCCATAGTGTGACGTCATAGGCACAGATCCCCTGTCCTCTTGTTTGGAAATGGAAATATGGTCACCCTACATTAAACAAACTGTCCACCCGGGCTTTTGCACTGCACAGAGACGCTTCGCTGCCTACGACTGAACGTCAGTTGAGAGTCAGTCTCATGCAGACTGACCAATGAAGAGAGGGCCTCAAGTTAAGACCCTCTCCTCATTGGTCAGTCCACACGAGGTGGGTCAAAGGTTACTCTGGGCGGGTTACGTGTTGTCAGGCATTCAAGTATTGAGTATATTTACTGCATATTACAGTAAAATATTCTGTATGTGACCACATTATGGTGATCCTCGGGTCGTGATGATGGAGCCCTTGAATATTGTTGCCCAGGGTACAACAAAGTGTTAATCTGGCCCTGGTTCCGCCGTCACATTCCCGCAGAAACTGGTTGATCACACCGGGGCCAGACTACTAGCATGTGGTTTTACAACCACAATGTCCTCAGAAGCAAAAACGCTTTTAAAAGGGAGGGAGGAGTCCTAACTGTTGCTGCAGGCGTGTTGTGTGAGAGTGCAGTTATATACTGGTTAATATATTTTTGGGTTCAGTTGCTTTCATGTGGCCTAATGTGAGTCTATTTGGGATCATTGGAATGATCAGCAGCATTTCTTGATGTGACTTTATGGCAGTTGCCCAGGGCATCATCGCAAGGAGGATGGCATTCATTTACTTTTGTTTTATTTGGTATTTTTTCAGTCATTTTTGGAAATAGTGATCAATTTTGATTAATTCACAGCCTATGTTTAATTACATTTAAAATAAATGTCAACAGATGAGATCAAACAAAACAGATGAGAATTGCCCTTAAGCTGTTTAACTTGGACCAAGCATTTTAGGTCACAGATAGATGTAGCTTAGGGTCTCTGTCTATACACCTTATAAGACAATTTAGGTGATGGCATGTTGTTTTTCTGCTATTGAACTGTTTTCTAATAATGTTGTGTTAAATAGAGTGAAGGAAGGAGAGAAATAACGTTTCCCTAGCAGTTTTTAAAAATTTCCCCATGTAATCCGATTAATCGATTAATCGTGTCGAGACCCCATCCGATTAATCGATTATCCAAATAATCGTTTGTTGCAGCCCTAATTCTTAGTAAAATGGGACTCATCTAGGCAAGGCAAGGCTGATTTATTTGTATAGCACATTTCATACACAGAAGCATTTCAGTTTGCTTTCCAGGATCAGCAAGAACAACATAAAAAAGCAAAATGTTATCAAACAAGTAAAATTAGATGCAAGAATGAGATAAAAAGGCTAAGTTAAAGGGTGAGCAGTTACAGTGCAGAAGGTGCAGCACAAGAACAAGTCATTCAAAGGCTGATGAATACATGAAAGTCTTCAATTTTGATTAAAAAGTTACTAGAGTTGGGGCAGATTTTAGGCCATAAGGAAGCTGATTCCATCTGTGTGCAGCATAGTAGCTAAAGGCAGCTTCACTCTGTTGGTTCTGATCTGAGGTTCTACCAGCTGACTGCTTCCTAAGGATCTCAGAGCCCTGCTGGGTATATGTACAGTGAGGAGATCTGACACATATTCTGACCATGACGTATAGTGAATTATAAACTAGTAGTAGCACTTTGAAATCGATTCTGATGTTTATTGGTAACCAATGTAGAGATTAAAGAACAGGAGTGATGTGCTCGGTTCTCTTGGTTCTTGTTAAGACTCTAGCAGCAGCATTCTGAATAAGCTGCAGTTGCTTCACAGCTTTTTTGGGAAGACCAGACAAAAGACCATTGCAATAGTTCAGCCTGCTAAAGGTGAACGCATGAATAAGCTTCTCTAGGTCCTGTCTGTATATGAGATCTCTGAGTCTTGCTAACTGGTGATAAAATGCTGATGTAGTTCTAGCCTTAATGTGACCAGTGAAACTCAGGTCTGAATCAAATATGACACCAAGATTTCTAACCTGACTCTTTGTCTTTAGTCCTCCGAGCCGAGTAGAACAATAACCTCCATCCTATCCTTCTTTCCAAAGAACTAACCCTGACCCTAACACCTTGGAAAATATGTATAGGTGGCCCCACCTTCATTTGCATCATATTGTATTGTTTTGCATGCTTTCCTGTCAACGTTCTTTGTATCATATTGTATATAACATATTGCCATACCTTCAGTGAATTAAATTTCTTATTGGGCATTGTTGAGTTGGTGACTGAGGCCAGGTTTTAATTAAGTGTATATTGCAGCTTAACCAGAAGCCAAATTCTCAGTACATTCTGGCCTCTCATCAGCTGCCTCAAGCTGGGAAACTAACCTTCCTTTGGCCCCCACCATGCCATTAGCCACCTGATAATCCCTCTGCTAGAAGCAAAAAGGAAGTCGAACACCAGGACAGCAAAGGAGGGGAAAGGAAGGGTGGTCTTATTTTCTGGGTGTTTGGGCCCGCCTCACACTTGCTGCTTTGATCAGACGTCCTGTGTGTAATCAAACCAAGCAGGTCTGCAGGGAAGCACCATCCTATCGCATGAGGAGAGCAGACTCTACAGACAGCAAAAGTAACAATTCCCAGGGTTAAAATCAGCCAAGCAAGTGCAAATAAATTTATAAAGGGAAATCTTTAATATTGTTCTCAGAGGCGGAGCTGGCCTAAATGGCGCCCTGTGCAAGATCCCCCTGTGACGCCCCCCCCCCCCCCCCCCCCCACCGACGCCCCCCTACCAGCTCGCCACTTCAATATGAAGAAGATCAGTTCAACATGGGGAAAAAAACTTGACCTGTAGGCCAGAGAAACGTTCATTAGCACATCAAGTTCGATTCAGTTTACCGGTAAACATATCACGAATGTACAACAGGTCAATTATTAATCATCTTGGCTACGTAGCTCAATCTATACATTCCAGTAGCGTTTGCTACAAACAAATACAAAAACAACAATAAAGGAAAACAACTGTCTGACAGACAGCATAGCTGAATTCAAGGCAACACATAACAATAAACATTCGATTGCTCTTGGTTTCAAGTTAAGCCCATTAAAGTGCTTAAGTAAATAAAAGTGTTTCAAAAACAGCGTTTTTGAACCGGAGTTCTGCTCGCGGTGGGAACTCCGCCGAACAAGGTCATTTTTAATAGCGAAAACCATCGACTGGTCACTGACAAGTAAAAGGGTGTTATTGGTAGATGTTAAGAACACTTACCGCTGAGGTAAAATGAGAGTATAAATGAATTGAGGGGAGAAAAACGCTTTGTTTTCCAACGCCGTTCTAAAGCAACATGCTTACAGCCACAGCAGGAGTCGAGCCCGGAAGTATTCCCCCACAGCCAGCTTTGCCGCGACGTGGAAGGAGCCAATCAGGAGAGGGATCTCACAACAGCTGACGTGGGTCATGTGACAGGGAGTAGTTAATATGGGTTACACTTTGTTGTGCTTTTATTACAGAGATATTATTATTATCATCACTATTATTATTAAGAACATGCGATTTCTATGTTTTGTTTATGTATTGGTTGATGCTAAAAAAAAAATTTTTTTTAGAAAAAAAAAAAAAAAAGGAAATTAAATGCCGCCCCCTGCAGACTGCCGCCCTGTTCGGCCGCACATGTTGCACATATCAAGCTCCGCCACTGATTGTTCTAGTGGAAAAGTATGAAAGAGCTTTATCAAAGTGACTTCACTCAAATTGACCGTCAGGATTCAAAGATTTTCTTTGTGTTATGAATAAGAAGACAACCTTGAATAATTAATTTGGCCTAGTTTATGTTTTGTATGGCTGTGTTGCGTCCATGTCTGAATTCCTGTTGTGATGAATTCTGAAAACCAGGAATGTATTGTGATTGTGACTTGTGATACAAGGGAACGCTTTCACCTGTAATGTTAGTGCTGATGTGCCAGTAGTGATTGGAATTCCGGTTCTCTTTAGAGAGCCGGTTCTTTTGGCTCAGCTCACCAAAAAGAGCCGGCTCTTTCAGCTCCCAACAGATTTTCTTTTGCTTAGAGTACATTGATTACCAAAATAATGCAAAACTATATGTAAAGTGATTTACTAATGTAAAAAAAAAGCAATATATCAAATATTTATCATTTATATGGATTTAATAACTGAACACTTTAAAAAATCTTTAAAAAAATCTCCACTTTCCGAGTGCTGGCGCTCATTTTCTCACCGTCTTCTTCGCACTGTCTGCTCTCTCGCTTGCCTTTTTCCTCCTCCTCATTCCCTCTCGTCTCCCTCCACCCGCATGTGCTCTGCTGTGTGTCTGAGGCCTAGTCCACACGTAGCTGGGTTTTTTTAAAAACAAATATCCGCCCCTCCAAAAACTTGCATCCACACCACCTCGTTAAAAAAAAAACTCTGTCCATACGTACCCGGATATGTACGTTGTTAAGGACATGCCAGACCTGTAGGCGGCAGTACTTCCCCATTCTTAACCTCGTCCTTCGTCTGTGGTCTTCCGCAAGGAGCAGTAATTCCGCTTGCAAAAACAAACAAGCAAAAAGCGCTTGGACAATTGATAAAGCGAGTGCAGCTCTGAGGGCATCCATGCTGTCGACTAGTGTAAACACAGGTCGCACACGTGATGTCAGCATTTTTTGTCGCGGAAAGTGACGTTGCGGAACTTAAAACTCCGGTTTTGTCTGTCCACACGCAGACACCCAAAACGGAGAAAACGCAGATCTTCACTTTGGCCGGAGTTTTTAAAAAGATCCGTTTTCGTGTGAAAAAACTCTGTTTTTGTGTGGATGACAGGCCAAAACGTAGAAAAATATCCACGTTTTGGCAGATCCCCGGCTACGTGTGGACAGGGCCTGAGTCTGATCCTCCCTCTTACCCGCCCCTACTGCTCTGTGTGTGGACAGTCTGGACAAGCAGTTACACATGTTGACCTGTAGCTTTCACCAAAGCAAGAGGGGGGGGGGGGGGGGGGGGGGGAGATGGCTCCGAATGACAAGCCGGCTCCCGTCGTTCACTTCAAAGAGCCGGCTCTTAGAGCCGGTTCGTTCACGACCGACACATCACTAATAGGAAGGTCAGTCAATTGCTTGAAGCCCCAAGGCCACTAGGGGCCCCGGGAGTGCCACCAAACTTTGAACCGGGACAGGATTGTAGCTGTAGTGAGACAGTGTAAAGCTGCACTTTGGTTGTCCCCCTCCCTCCTGATAACCCCCCATGGAGACTCTTGTCTGCTCCACAACACCACCCCCTACTGACTGTTTTTGTTAAGGTTCGCAATGAGATTCTTGATGACTGGAAGAAAAACTGGCACTCAACCTACTCACACAAAAAGCAAGTAAGCTCAAAACGAAGCTAAACTAGCTACTTGGTTATCTTAGATTGGAAGAAGTCTTGAAAACAAAGGGGAGAGTCGCTTTTCCAGATGACTGGAATATCATCTCAGGTCCAGTGGAGGATGCCCCCATCCATTGCCAAGCCGTGTCCTGATGCTTTGGGCACACATAAACCAGAGAAGGCCTGTACAGCATGATTCTCCTGTATTAAGGGACTACTTGTCCCAGTTTTTTTTTTTTTTTGGCAGGGTACCAAAATTTGGATGCTGACTTTACAATCTTACTCGGTCTCTTCAATCTAGACGTGAGGCGAAGGACGATCTACGAGTACCACCGTGTGGAGCTCACAAAGACAAGAATCACCAACTCTACAGCTGTGGAAATCACACCTTTACCCAGTAAGATTGTTTGGCGACAGCTTTTGTGGAAGCTCCTTTAACAATTCCTGCTTGTTGCAACCTTTTTTCCACAATGCAAGTTATCAATTGCATTAATGCTTTGACGCATTTTGACTCTTCTTGTCTGCAGCCTGTCTCCAGTTCACCAGCTGTAGTGATTGCATCTCCTCACAGATTAACTTCAACTGCAGCTGGTGTCATCGACTCAACAGGTTGGTCTCCATTTCATCTTTACCTTTTATTTTCTCATTTATTTTCACCCTGGGGCACAAATACTGTGCAGAACAGCATTTTTTTTTACTATTGTGTCTTTTGTTTAAATAATCATATTTTAAAGCCCCTGTTCTTGTTTTCCCATAGAACTTTTTAATTTTCTGTGGCAGGCAGGGTTGGGCATCTTATTGTTAAAGGAATTAGTTACCTAGCAATGGATGTTATATTTATGTTCTATAACGCAGTTACGTTCTATAATATCTATAACGTCAAAGCTTTTTAAACCTGAATTCTTAGGGTTAGGGTTACATCCAAGCCCCCACAATGCAGCTCTAAAATTGAGGCAAACCCGGAAATGAAATAAATTGCAGTTCCACCCTCTTCCGCTGGGGGCTGGTGTCAGAAGCGAGCAAATCCTCATTGACTCCCATGTTAAAAATACCAATTTCACAGCAGAAATAAACATGTTTACAGCCTGGTACCAAAACATGTTTTTTGTTTAAATGATCTAGTTTACACTCATGACAACTCTGAGGGGGGTGAATTTTTTTCTCACTCTTCTAAGGGTAATAAAAGCCTAAAATTCTGTATAATTAATGAGCATCAGACCCACGTGACCACAGAACTAGCTCCGGGGAAAGGCCTCAGTAGAGCCTCGGTCTGGCTTGGAAACTGCTCCGGGATCTTGAGTCTCCGTGTTTGTGTATTCTTTTTTGGATATTTTTTGTGCAATTGTTGGACAAAATGACTTGCTGTGGCATTAATTGCGCTAATAGAGCGTCCAAGGAGTCTCCACTTCATTTTTTTCGGTAAGTAAAATTATATTTATGTGTTTTAGGTCACTGCCGAGCTGAGCTTAGATTTTAACATGTACTGTTTAACCATAAAATTTAAATGTAATAGGGCAAAACCCAGTGCATTTAACATAATGCTGCACTTTAGAAAATGGGTTGAAATATAACATGTTGGTGGAGCTGGGTTCAGACTATCGGCTTGTGGAGCTCTCGGGAGACCGATGTTTTCCACCCGGTTATCGCCTTCCCGCAGCTCGGCGCATCTCTGTCTGATCGCGGCTTCTGTTTGATGCGCGGGTTGCTGGCTTGTGGAGCTCTGGGATGGAAACCTTTCCACCCAGTTCTCCCCAGCGGCAGCTCTGCGCATCTCAGATCACAGCGGCGCTTGTCTGCTGTGCGGCTGCCGGCTTGTGGAAGTCTCGGTCTTGGAGACCTCTGTGTTCCACCCGGTTTTACCCAGCGGTCAGCCCGGCGTATCTCTGACTCAGAAGCTCTGGTGTTGTGCACAGTTAACTCCGGTTGTAGCTATGTTGCTACCTCTGTTTGCTTAGCTCCCACCTCCGCGTTAGCTTTGGGTTAGCCAGGGTTAGCTTCAGGTTAGCTTGTAGCTAGTTCAACCGGGTGTCGTCAGTTGATCCCAGCCTTACAGCCCCACCCTCAGCTCCTCCTCTCTTCCCTTTTTTGGAATTGTCTGGGCTTGACGGAACCTGTGACACGGTCAAAATGGCGGTGGTGGCCACCTCCCATTTGGCCTCAAAAACGTGATATTGGAGCCTATGGAAAGGAGTTGTCCAGTGTATTTATGTCAATGGTTACATCCCACACTCGTTGGGAATGAGGCATCAGTCCCCAGTAAAACCTGAAATAAGCATTTTAGGAATAATCACCTGAAAATTAACACTTTGTTTGTATTTTTAGAAAACAGAGTTCAAATATAAACATTCTATTATATATGTTTTTTAAACTTTGCTTTGTAGAAAGTCCTACTCATAAAATCAAACTTCCCAATCGGTTAGATGCAACATTTGCATTCATGTCAAGGAGCAGTGGTTGTAGACAGCAGCTCCTGCTGACGATCACTCAGCTTGCACCTGTTCTTCCAACCTTTCCACGGAGAGAATTTTGGTGAGCTCAAGAACTGAACTTGAACTGAGGATTTAGGTTTTAAGAGATGACCGGTAATCTTATTCTAACGATTTAGATTTTGACTTGTTGGAGGGTGGGACTTAACTTACCTCAGAACACGCCCTCCCAAGATAGAAAGCTCTGGTGTTATGGAACAAAGACATGTGAGTGCAGTTACCTTTTAACCTGATTACTGTGTCCTGCATGATCTTGTCACTATTAAACATTACTGATTATCATAAATAACCATTATTATTAACCAAAGAATAATAATTCATTTCAGTAATTCAATACATTTATAATGAACCTTGATGATTATTTATGAACATTGTAATAGACAGTGAAAAGAGTTTATTGAAAAATGATTATTTTGAATCTTAAAGTGTCCTTCATCTTGCGGATGGAACAGCAGTCAGATAAAGGCAGTCAGATTAAAGATGGTTTACAGCAGACTTTGCGTCTCCTGTGATGGATAATCTGTAGATAGAAGTACAGCCAGGACAGCTTGACCAAGCTGAGGAAGTGTGACCTCTGGGTCACAAATGAGGCCATTCATGTCACTACAATGTTTACTCTCCTGCGAGGCCACCGTGACTTCTCTTTTGTTCCAGCAGCGTTTGAAACTCCATCTGCATCAAATATTAATCTGCCACTCATCGTTTATTCTGAGTAATGCTCTCGACTGAGGAAATATGCACCACTTGTGATCTGTCCACTTTGATTACTTATTAAGAGGCTTACAAGTTGTTGTGGATTTGACTTTCTAACTGCTCAACATCTCCCGTCCTTTCTCTTTTGACAGAGACAGAATGGTTCACACCAACATGATGAAGCATTTTAACTTTCAGCAGTTTATTCACATTGGAGCAAAAGGACGCACGCCCGTAGCAACGGTCTCATTAGGCAGCCTTTTAATTAGCTTTCTGACTGTGTTAATGTCTTACGGTTCAGCCTCCTCCTCCTCTACCCTCTGTATCCTCCAGCCACTTCCTTTAAAAAAATGCAAACATGCATTTGACACGCACTAATTAAAAACCACAGCGTCCTCTCTGGCTGTAGCGTAAATCAAAGTCTCTAATATTCTTTTTTTAAAAAGCAGTCAGTCGATGCGAGGCCGTTTGAAGGTGAAAGCGCAGCACCTCTTTCAGGCAAAGCTTCAAAACGACTGAGTTTGTTGCTGCAGAGTTAGAAAACACGACAGACAGCGATGAGCTTTGAGTGTCAGAGCATCCACGTGTTGATGTGTTTCGAGGAAGTGCAGGGAGTCGTTTTAAAATGAGAGCAATGTGCACCAGAAATGACAAACGGGGAGATTAATGGTAAATTTTGATGCATCTTAATCATGTAGCTTGTTTCAAACAATTAAATAAAAACACATTAGTTAAAAATATTTTATTAACCAAAAATGAATACTTACATTTATTTATAATATTGAATACTTAAGTTATTTTAGTTAAAACCCTTACCCATCCTTTCAGCTCATGACCAATTCACACTCATTCCTTCAGGCAGGGGGTTGAGTGCTCTGATCGGGTCTTTCCACCGCACTTAAATCTTACGTAATGTCAACAAAACGTAGTGCGCTGCAATTATCTGCCACTATAGTGGATGGGAGCGTTTCCACCGGCCGTGAAGCGTTGTGTTTTAGAAGTATCCCAAAAGCGTAGGAACGTGGTGCTTACTAGGGATGTCCCGTTCTGATACCGATATCAGAAGTAATTCAATATCGGTGTATCGGATTATATTGGACTGCATCCAAATTCTCCGATATAAGGAGTTCGTTAAGATTCGCATTTTTGCAACCAATGGTTAAAAAAAATGTCCTTTTTTTCAAACTTACTGTGATTGGCTCTTGTTCTCCGACTGAGTAATATGACTTGATCAAGCCTTTTCCTACACTACGAAATAGACAAAAGTATGTATGATTTGTGCTGATATCGTATCGGATTGATATTGGTATCGGTCATTAATGATGGCTGCAATATCGGTATCAAGTCGGAAGTGAAAACGTATCGGGACATCCCTAGTGCTAACACTAAAAATTTACGTTCTACCCTTCCAGAATGCGTTGAGTTCAGCAGTTCAGCTCAAGCCACACTGGAAGTCAAGCACAAAAGCAGTGTATAACACCCGGAAACTTTCCAAAAAAAAGTCTAGTTGCTTAAATATTAGGTCATAACCTGTGAAACCTTGCTTGTTAGCGTGAGAACTGCCAAAGTCACGCGTGGTCTTGCAGTTGTCCGATGATTTCGTGTCCTCGTGGGACCAGCTTCGTGGAACCCTTTTGCTGCTGTTTTGCATCTGAAACTCTCAGATGGAAGGAAGATCGAGGGTAGAACCAAACAAATACATTTCATTATGCAACACTTACACATCCAGTGGAAAGCCGGGGTTAAAGCCCAGACCAGGCTCAAAATGTGAAGCTCATGACCTCTGACCTTTAGATTACCCTGTAGACTTTATTCTCTACAATATTATGTTAGATGTTCAGGACTGAGTTTTACGATAACCTGAGTGATTTTCACCGTGCTTCTAATATGTGGTTGAATGACAAATAAATCTGATCAGCATTATTTCAGGTGTGCAATGCATTCTGGGTCGGTGATGATATATGGCAACTCTTGACGGGTATAATAAAAAATGTCATTGTCTCTTTTTGCCAGGAATTAGCAAAAAAAATAATTGAGGGAATTTATGGAAACTCGGTTTGAACAACTTTAAATGTTTAAAATAAAAGTGTCTTTGGTCAGTATGTTTTACCTAAATTATACACTTTAACCATGATGGAAATTCCATTTTTGTTCTTTTTTAAACACAGACAAGGTTTTTTCTTTACCTTGCTGACGTTTCGTTTGCGGCTGCAATCATCCTCAGAGCTGATGCTGATGGTAGCGTCACTTCCTACTCTGTTTATCCGCGGGCAGCAGAGGACGTTGTCGCCCTCTGCTGCCTGCTCTCCCCTCTCCGATGATGCAGTCCCATGCGCGATCCAATAAGTAAACTCCATCGTCTCTGTTCATGGTCCCACATCCACGTCTCCTTATCTCTAAAGCTTCTTTTATCCATCTTTTGTATTTCTG